ATAATTACGAAGCAACAGGTATTTGCGCAATGTTAATTAGGCAGATTACCTTGAAAAACATTGCTGCCGTATTTCTGATATAGTTTTTTGCAAATGTCTCAGTTTTTAGTAACAATTAATTTCTTCTACTATTTTTTCTGTACTCCTATAACAGCGCCAGACAACACCTCCAGAGGAATGACGCCAATTTTGAATCACCCTGTAGTGTTAAGATTTAATTTTATTTTTATATTTAAAAAGAAGTTTTATGTATTTTCTGAGAAAGAAATATATTTTATTTCCCAAAATAATTATTTTTAATTATATACATATACAGGGTGGTTTTTTTCATATTTTGAAACGCTTAAATGTTTCGGAAACGAGTGATCTGAGAAAAAAATGTTTCAAATAAGAAGTTAATATCTGGGAGGGGAAAGTTTATTCTTGTCAGAAAAACAAAGTCTACTTCGACCTTGTAGACTAGGCAGGGGCCAACTTTAGAATTTCAAATGGTAAACACAACATTTTATTGGAGATTCGAATAGTACGTCAAAAACTGGGAATAATTTATCTAAATATTTTTCTTCGATTTTGACAGGTGGCGCTGTAAGCCATCATTTTTTTGCTTTAGATCTGCTGAACTATTATTTTATTGAAACGCTTAAACTGTTAGTATGACAAATATAAAGTAACTTTAAAGTTTTAACTAAATTGGGAATTAAAAAATATTCCTATTTAAATTACAGCATACATTCTTAGCTTCTGGAAAATACATATATCATTTCACTTAAAACCAACAAAATTTGTAATAATTAAAGCAGATGTTCAAAATGTTGACCTTCAACTTCAATGCATTTATTGGTTCCCTTTTGAAATGAGTGCACACAGCTCAAAAGTACACTTGATTGAATTTCGACACAGGCATTTCGTATTCGGCTCCATCATACTCTCACGACTTGTAAGTACAGCTTCATAAACTTTTCCTTTAAGAAAACCCCACAAAAAAAGTCTGATGACGTGAGATCTGGTGATCTTGCAGGCCAGCTTATAGGCCCAGCGCTACCGATCCATTGGTCTTTAAAGCTACGGTTCAGTACTTCACTTGCAACTACTGCATAATGTGCTGGACTACCATCGTGTTGAAACTACATACTCTGTCTCAATTGAAAGTCAACATCTTCGAGTAATATTGACAATTCATTCTGCAGTAGGTTTCTGTAGCATTCACCAGTCAGATTGCCCTCAATAATGTAGGGACCAATGAGCTTTTCCCCAAGAATTCCACACCACACATTTATCGTCCATGGACGCTGACTTTCAACTGGGCGCAGCCAGTGCGGATATCGGCACCCCAGTAGTGCATGTTATGTCGATTGACTGCTCCGTAATTTGTAAAAGAACATTCATCAGAGAAACATACCCGATTTAAAAAATTCGGGTTTAATTCTATTCGTTCATGCGCCCACTGACAAAATATCACGCGGATTTGAAAATCATCTCCATGAAGTTCCTGATGCAAAGACAGATGATAAGGATGATATTTGTGGAGATTTAATACTTTGAGAACGCTGCTCCGAGACAATCCAGAAATTTCTGCTAATTGTCGGGAACCTAACGTGAGGATCAGAAGCGACAGCAACTAACACATTAATTTGATTGTCTTCCCCGGTAACTCTTCTTTGGCGAGTTCGGCTTTACGCTTCCTTCACTAATAAATTGCTTGACTGTTCGGCAAAACGAAGCAAGAGATCGCGCCCTATCTGAAAAACGCTGAGCGTAAAGAGCGACAGCATTATGAAGATTTCGGCCGGCTTCTCCATATATAAAAATTATTTAAATTTTTTCTTGCATAGTTAATGCGCCTATTTCAAAAATTATAGTAGCTTATTTAAATCAAATTCTAATAGTGGTTCTAAGTCAGAACAAAATTAATAAATGTCAAAGTCAACAATTTGAAATTTCTACGCTTTTATCAGCGTTCCTACATTGAGTTGAGAGAAATTTTAGATGACTTTGACAGCTTCATATTCAAAATATATTTCGAAATGTCACGTATTGGCAATGCGAATTTTCAAACTATTAATGCTATACTTTTAATAAACAAATATATGTTTTGTTGATTTGGAGGTACCTATTTGATTTTCACCATCAAACAATTTTCGGACCGAATATTCCTCTGACATTAATAGATGCTATTGGTCACACTGAAATTTTCAGCGTTTCAATTAAATAATAGATAGTTTAGCAGATCAAAAGCAAAAAAAAAACGATAATAATAGATAAAACCTGTCAAAATCGAAGAAAATGTTTTGGATAGATTATTCTCAGTTTTTGACGTACTATTCGAATCTCCAATAAAATGTTGTGGTTACCATTTGTCAAGTTGGCCCCTGCCTAGCCTACAAGGTCGAGGTAGGCGTTGTTTTTCTGACACGAATAAACTTTTCCCTCCCAGATATTAACGTCTTATTTGAAACGTTTTTTTCCTCGGATCACCCGTTTCCGAAATATTTAAGCGTTTCAAGATTTTAAAAAAACCACCCTGTATATAACAATCTTGATTTTTTTCTCAAAAAGGCTATCGACCCAGCGGTCTTTGTGCCCTTGTATATTTACATAATTAATTTCCCTATTCTAAATGTATAAAAATAACTAAATCTTCACTAAACTAAAAGGATTTTTCTTATTCTAGCCTATTTTCGACTAAATTCTATTTTAAGTGTTTTATTGGCTGGCGGGTTGGTCGTGTCGTGTTGTTTGTAAGCGTTCAAATAACGTTGTTGTAGGCAAGAGAAAGCGGGATTGTCTGGCTTGTCTTGTAAGACAAAGGGAATTCAGTATTGTTCAGTTGTCAGGATTTTTCTTTCAGTTTGTCTGTAATGTATCAGTCTTTCCGATATCATTGTCATGTTTGTGCGTTCGTAGAGTGGTTGGTTGGAATGATTGTGCAGTGAGTCTTAAGGATGTCTTATTTTTGTGATACGTCTTAGTGCTATTTGTTCAGTGGCCTGTATGTTAGAGGTGGGATAAACGGTTATTTTTCTGTAACAAGGTTCAAACGTTCCAGTTTCACGTTGGTAATAGGTTTCAAAATGCGGTTCCATAAGGAACATGTTACTTTTAAAAATTTTCATTAAACATGCGCAATGATGATGATGGTAGAAATAGTAAT